CCCTTTCCCTTCCTCTCTGCAATCAATAAAAATATTTTTTGAAAAGAAAAGAAAAGGCATTTCAGGGGCTTTTCTGAGGCCTGCTCCGGGCACTACAGGAGAAACTCTGAAAAAGCAAGATCAAGGCGGCAGGGAGGCGAGCAGGGAGGACCGTTCTGCCCTGGCCCCAGGGTGCCTGCGCCTCGGCACCAGTGCCAACGGGCAATAGTCTCAAGTGGACAGCAACTCAAACAGCAGCAGGAGGAAGTGGACGGCTGGTCAGTTACCTGTTACCGCCCCATCGGGCAGGGCGGCCACCGCCCACAGCCCTGAGCACCAGGCATCTGATACATGGCTTTCTGTCACTGTGTCAAGATGGCGTGACGACATTTTATAGTGTCTCACCCCTTTCCCGCCAGGTATAAAACCTTAAAACTGCCAGACTCACTTGTTCCTAAACCCACAACCCTGCACAGAACCGACAGACCGACAGACAGACCCTTTGCTGTGGACAAGCAGAGATGAGTTACAGGACGGGTGGTCCAGTCGGGTGACCTTGCAGTGAGACCCTCTCCCTCCCAGGACCCTGGACAGACTCAGACACCTATTTTTATTTATTTGTTTTAATTTCCGAGAGGAAGGGAGAGGGAGCTAGAGATAGAAACATCAGTGATGAGAGGGAATCACTGACTGGCTGCCTCCTGCACGCCCCACACCAGGAATCAAGCTGTGACTTCCTGGTTCACAAATCAATGCTTAACCACTGAGCCGCCCCGGCCGGGCTCAGGCGCCTTTTTGGGGCTAAAACTGGTACCCCTTCCCTGGCCGTCCTGGAGACAGCTCCAGTCTTGCAGGAGAGCAGCAGCGGAGTACTGAGGCCGCCGCTGAGCCCGGGCTAATAAATGAGCGCGAGGTGTGTTACTGGGCACTGATCTCTCTTTATTAATGCGGCCGCCGGAGAGGCAGACACTGTTTCCATCTTTAATTACCTCCTCCGTTCTGCTCTTCCGGGGCCGCGGCCACCGAGGCCAGGGCTTATTTCTTTATTACTCAGCCTCTCCTCGGCATTTCATGAATATTGTTACTTAATACTTGCCAATAGGGAAAGCAGGATTTGGCGAACTTCTGCTCAAGTTTTGATGACTTTTTCTAAAACTCAGGAAACTTGCAGCTGCGAAGTTCTCTGTGCCTTTCGGGGACACTCAGGCCAGGCCCCACCCTTGCCCTGCCCCCCAGCCCGAGCCTAGGGGGGTCGGCCTGGGTGGCGCCATCCTTGGACGAGGGGACCAGGAAGTGATGTCCTGGTTTCAGAAGCCCATGGCAACGGGCCATCGGGCTCCCCACTCCCACTTCACCCACCGGCCTTTGTGCCAAGGCAACACCCCGATGAAAAGCGAGGCCAAATATTCTGCCCAGGTTCCCACCACTGTCTGTGTGGAAGGATTTAACTATCAGCTACCAGCAATCACAAACTCTGCCCTCCACAGAAACCGGGGTCCTCCGGGACCGAGCCACCGGGGCCCTGATGGAAGTGTCACCTTCAAGTGGCACAGCGTCAGGGTTTCCGTGACGGCCCAGCAACATGAGGCTGGGGAGAGGGTGACCTCTGGTCCCGTACGTGTCACCCGGCCACATGCCCGCCTTGGTTTAACGCCAGTGACCGTGACAACAGACCCAAGCCGGGCTCTGCTCAGGACGCTGCTGGCCTCGCCCTGGGCAGGGCAGCCAGGACCACGTGGGAGCAGCAGTCGCCAGTGGGAGCAGGGGTGTGCCCTCAGGCCGCGATCTGGGGAAACAGCACGGCGGTGGCGGAGCATGAGTCCCTTTCGGTGAAAGCCCCGGAGCCGCACTAGTGGCCGCGCTGGAGGCTCAGACGGCATTGCACTTCCTGTCCCCTCCTGAACCCAGTGGGCCTGTGGGGTGCCGCCCCAGGCAGGCCTGGGAGAGCAGGGGAGGGGGGGTAGACAGGCCCCCAGCAGAGGACGGCTCGGGAAATGCCCGAAGGCCCCGCAAACACCGGAATGCCAGCCAGTGAGAAGGCGCCGGCCCACGGACACAGCACAGTGAGCCTCCGCCCCCCGCGGAGCCTCCGCCACTCTGCACGAGGCCGTTGTGTGGCGACGGCGAGAGGCACAGGAGGGCCCGGGACGGAACAGCCAGCGCTGGGGGGCGCCTCTTCCGGGGGGTCCGCTGTGGAGAGGCTGCCAGGGCAGGGGGGTGAGCGGGAGGGTGGGCGGGTTTGTGCTCTTCTGGGGAGACCCAGGACGAAGGGTGCTGGGCGGGTGGGCTGGCCCGCGGAGGGCTGTGGGGGTTGGGGCTGGCGGCACCTCCGGGGACTGGCAGAGGCGCCAGGAGGGAGATGTGCCCTTGATTTAGCAGCAGGACCTTTTCAGGAAAGAGAACGTGACGCAGAGAAGCAGCCTGCCCCCGCCACGCCAGGGGAGGCATTTCCACTCTGACCTTTCTGGGAGACCATTTCTTTTTGTTCCCGGACAGGGTGAGCTGTGTGTGCGGAACAAGGACAGGAGCCCTCAGCTCCGCTACCGCCCAAACCCGTTCCCCTTCACAAGACCCCAGGGGCCCTGGTCTGGCTCAGAGCTCGGCCTACGGACTGAAGGGATGCGGGTTTGATTCCGGTCAAGGGCATGTACCTTGGTTGCAGGCTTGGTCCTCGGCCCCACTCGGGCGCATGCAGGAGGCAGCCAATCGATGTGTCTCTCACAGGGATGTTTCTCTCTGTCTCTCCCCTCCTTCCATTCTCTCTACAAATCACTGGGGAACTATCCCTGGGAGAGGATTAGCCACAGACGACGAAAAGGCGCCTCCACGTGAACATCGGGAGCCGGGGAGCGAGCTGCAGTGTGAGTGCCCTCGGAGAGCTGAGTGGCAAAGGGTCTCTCAACACGAACAGCAGTGTCTCCCACAAGCTTCTTCAGAGGGGGAGCCGGCTCTGGATCACTGAGCCCACCAACGCTACAGGAACTCGGGAATCTGGGTGCTGCATTATAAACGCACACCTCACACGTGGCCTGCACCCCTGCCGGGCCTGTGGTCTCGGTCTCGGCACTCAGAGCCGGTTCTGGCGCTGCAGCCTGACTTTTTTGTTCTTGTTGTTTTTCCAAAAACCTACGATAATGTATATATTAACTTGTGTTCTATTTTTAATTAAAAAAAATTATAATCCAATTAAGCCAGCAGCAGCCTCCTCGGTGTTTCTCTCCTGACGTCCGCACACTAAGTGGCACATAGCAGGTGCTCAATAAAGTGCCCGGAACGGCCTTTCGCTATGGATCCTGCCCCCGGGACGGCAGCTCTATAACGGGCTTCCCAGATAATGCGAGCCCAGAAAGCTCAATGATGTGAGAAGGTGACAGTCAATTTCCACAGGAAACTGGCTGCTCAGTATAGGAAATCATTTCCAAGCCGTATTCTTAGGACACAGCAACCACTTTTCCCTTTGAAACGGGCTGTTTTGAGTGATTCGTTATAAATGTATAATGACAGTTGTGAGCACCTCTCTTTCCTGGCACGAGAACAGAGTCTGTTGATTGCCTCGGTGCTTAAAATAGTTGCTGAGTGTCCTCATAATAGCGTGTCACCTGGAAGCAGGTTTAAGCCAATGCAAATGAGCGAGCAAGGAACAGATGGCCAGAGCGCGGACTTTTGTCGAAGGAGAGAGGGAGCAGCCGCGCTTCCCGGCTCCAGTCTTAGGGGACGTTAGAGAGCCTTTCACTCTCGCCAGCGTCTTGCCTCAGCAGACAATCCACGCGGAGAAAATGACAGGTTACAAGGCCCATCAGACTTCCGAGAGCTGGAAGTTGAGATCTGTTTGTTGTCGTTAATCCTTACCCAAGGATATTTTTCCGTTGGTTTTTAGAGAGAGTGGAAGGGAAGGCGAGAGACAGAGAGAGAAACATCGATGTGAGAGAGACACACCCCCAGCCAGGGCGAGGATCTAGCCTCCAACCAAAGCTGGAATTGAGATTTCCTGAATCACCGCCTCATCACCCGAGGAACAGGAATCACATTCCTAAGAAGCTCGTGCCACTCAAAGGGGTGGCCCTCATGGTGGGAAAACACGGCCCGTGTGCCGCAGCAGGCACACACTAACCCGCCGAGGCCAGCTGGCTCGGCTCGCTCTCTCCTGGAAGCACATGTTAATTGTGAGGAAAACCTGAAGGTCGCCGAGATGGTGGTCCACGGTGTTCACACGAGAGGGAAAGTCGCTGTCACCCCCCAGCTCCCCGCTGACCTTCCTCCTCCTCACTCTCCGAGTTTCCCCACATCCACTCCCACCACCCTCCACGCTCCCTCCCTAAGCACCGATCCCAACAGAGATCACGGTATTACTGATGCGCTCATTTGTTTAAGGGCGCCTTTCCTTGGCCTCCACCCCCACCCCCCACACGGAAAGCTCCAGGAAGATGGGACCGTGTCTGTCTTGCTCCTGGTTTCATTCCCAGAACCTAGGACAGTGCCTGGCAGATGGTGTGACTGGGCATTGTCTTCCCCTAATTGGCCTTCCACCCGAGCCTCCCGGACTGTGAGAGGGGGCAGGCCGGGCCGAGGGACCCCCCTCCAGCGCATGAATTTCCTTGCACCGGCCTCTAGTTTAAAATAAAAGGAAAGAGGGAGAAGAAAACAGGTGAGCCTAGTGCCGACTCTAACGCCAGCCCAGCAGGTCAATTAGGTAGCCTGTAGCTTTCAGAATGTGCTCCTGGCAGGCTGGCCACTCACCCTCCGCCGACCATGGAAATGGTACAAGGAAACAAAGAATCAGCTATGAGGAATCTTAAAATCCTACATGGAAAAGTCACACACAGAATACATACAGTATGAGCTGTATTATAACTGCTTCATGTAAGATCTACACAAAATATGTTACCTGTAAGCTGGGTTTCTAATTTTAACAGATGCTTTTTTAAGAGAAAAAAAAACAATCTCGCAAGAGTAACTTTCCATTAGCCAGAACCACGCACACACGGCGCTGGCCCAGGAAGGCCCTCGCTCCCGGTACTCACTGAGGCGGCAGGACGAGCGTGGTGGGCTGCGCCTTGGGCCGGCGCTTCGCGGACACCCCCATCTGGTTGGCAGAGCGTTTCAGCGACTGTTGGTTCAGGAGGCCGGATGCCAGGCCTGCGTGGTACTGCAACTGCCCGGAAACAGAACAACAGGGAGAATGACCCTGGGAAAGGCAGGGCGGGCATTGAACCAGCAACACGTTACATTGCACCCTTCAGAACAGTTCAAATCACTGCAAACCCAGCGGCTACCAGTTTGCTTCAAGCAATGCATTGAGAGGGAGATAATCAGAAAACAGGCAAAGAAACACGAATTAGGTTGCTCAGCACAGCACTGCATAATGAGGGAGAACTGAAAACAATCTAAATACCCAACAATACTAGGAATTGGCTCGAATATTCAAAGAACTTTATATCATTTTGTTGTATTGAAAAACAAACGAATGCTTACATTATAAACAGAGAGACGCTCAAAAAGATGTTCTCTAAATATTAATGGTGTGTTTCTAAGAAGCAGAATCAGAGTAATTTTTACTTTATTTTTTACTACTATTCACATATGCTTATGTAAATAGTTTTAAAACCAATGTCATTTCCTAATAAGAACCACCACTCGTTCTTAAAGATAAATGAGTTCTGGGAACTCTTGCTACTGTCATGTCTTGCTTATACTAACAGCCACATAACCCACAGTCTATTACAGAGGATCAGGGGCAGAAGACCGCTTAGGAACAGATTCAAACGTATCCGGAGTCGGGTTCAGAAGCGCTGGGCACTGTTTTCAGTGGTTAAGATACGATGTGAACCATCATCAGCTCAGGACGATATGGACACCAATGGATACAGGCTCACTGAGAGAGGGATGGAGAAGCTACTCTCATGCTTGTACCCACAAATGCATAAATGCATGCCGTGGTAAGGAAGCACACACTTTGAATGGGCTCAGGGCCAGCGCCTGTGCTTTGTTCCGGACAAACTGCTGAGCTGTGAGTTTACTTAGGAGATCATCTTCCTTCTCCAGACCTTCATTTCTCTGGTGGAAATGAGAAGTAATGCTGCCTAATTCCAAACCAAACAGGACTTCAAAAAATGCGTTGAGTTATAAGTTACATAAAATGAAAAGCACACGTTAAGGGTACAGCTTGATGAGTTCTGATATGTATGCATCTGTACGTTTCCATCTCTGCAGACACTGCCCTTGTGCTCAGGGCAATCTCCCAGGCCCCAACTCCTACCACCAGGACATTCTGACTTAAATACAACTAATTCTCACTCGCTGACAAATGAAGCTTACATTCCATTTGACATGTGATATTGACTCCTACCTTCCTTTGCAAATCCCATACTTTTGGATTTTAGATCCTAAGAGCTGTCATCGATCTGTCTATAATAAAATTATCCTTGAAGGGTATCCCAATTTTGAACAGATGTAAACAACACATTCAGACGAGAACGTGCCAAGCTGAGAATTTGGACGGAGACTATTTATAACATCTACGATGTTGCCTCCTCCTTCCGCAAATGAAGCAAGGCCTTTCAAACACGTATTTGGAATTAACTGAACATACAAAATAGTAACTCATTCCGAGTCCCTGAATCAATTTCTTTTCAAAATGCTCTTCAAAGGATAGATTTCCTTTGCGGGGTCGGCTACTCGGTATACGGCTCCCGGTAATGAGACCGGTGAGCGCCGGCTAACAGGGGCGGCCCGGGATGCAGAGAGTGATGGTGCTCTGAACAATAGTGGCCTCACCTGCAGCCGCTGGCCGCACACACACACACACACAGGGAATGAGAGAAAACCAAACCAAACGGAACGATCTGCTTCTCGCAAGAGGCCATAACAATGAAGGTATCCCGGCACCCAGGGAGCCTGAGGCGTCTGTGTTTGGAGCGTCCATATTGCTTTCTAACAGCCTCTTGATTTACGTGGTCCATTTGCCCGGGAGCCTTATGGCTGCACAATACAAGACAAAGATGTATCGCATTCATAATAAAAACGGAGCTTCCCTCGTGGTGGAAAAGGGGGGGGGCATCATTTGGCTTTAACAACTCATCTTAGGCCAATGAATTTTGCTCAAATTTGTTTTTCTCCTACAGAGTTCTTAAATGGGAAATCGATGGCGGCGAGGGACAGTACAAGTTTGAAAGACAATGTTTCAAAATGTCAGCTACTTGGGCTTCGATCTCTCCCACCAGAATCTGCACTGAGTGCAATATGCACGGGCTTTATGGACTTAAAGGGGAAGACAGCTTGGCAGGGGTCCGCTCCCGGCTCGGGGCGGCGGCTCTCCTTGGCTCTCCTCCACTCTGGATCTTGTCAGGGTCCGTGCAAGCTCAGCCGTTCCGGCCTGCTGACTCCGAGGGGGAGAGGCCTGCTAACGAGGCAGGGTGGCGGGGTGGTTCTGCCCACCTGGCATCATTTCGATCACTTGCGCAAACAAACAAACAAAGAAAAAACAAAACAGCAGAAATGCATGCCGGCTGCTGACTATCTGGAAGGTTCCTGAAGCCTCTGCATCTTGGCCGGCCTCAGTGGACCCGGCACCCCGAAGGGGGGAGAACGCTGACTCACGGTGATTAGGGACATCTGTTAATCGCTACACTCAGCCCGGCTTCCAGGAACACGGCTCCGATGTCAGGATCTATACGGCCCCATTAAATATTTACCGAAGCATCTTTATAATGGGAGAAAAGGTCAAAGTTAATAAAACTGACAGGCAGCTCCTGTCCAACTGGATTTATGCATTATTTAAGCACTAAATACTCCATTCCACGAAGAGTTTGGATCTGGAAAGCTCCTGGAACACGTGCCTCGGCCAAAGGTTTTAAACAGCAGAAGGAAGTGCAGCTGATCCACAATCAGCATTAAGAACACATCCCTCTCCACAAGTCCTACCGAGAGTTTTCAATGACAGTTTCTGTCATGTTTTCCATAAAAATGCATTTCCGTAAGCATCCTTTGCTCCGAATGTCTGAGCATGGAAACAGCGGTTTCAAAAAGCAACTTATCAAAGTTCTCGTGTGATTGTTCTACCCAAGGTCAGCTCTCCCCTCGCCAGCAAGGATACAGTGAAAGCGGAGGAAAATGAAACGCTCTGTTCTTTCGGCTCCCACATCTCAGTGCGGGGAGGACGCGTGTTTGTGCGGTGGGCGGGCTGGTCTTTTCTGCGTCAAGTGGTCTCTCGGTGCTCAGCGATGGCAGCGATCCCTGGATTTTGAGAGCGATTCTCTCAGTTCCAACTTCGCTGTCCATTAATGCCTACGACCGACCTGGGATGTTCTGTCAGTTCTCAGCCCGAAGCCCTTCCTCACCCACGTGTCTGCTAGTGACCCCTGGACCCGGGCAAATTTCCCCAAGGCACAGTGACCCGGAAAGACCCCGCTGAGAATCGGGAGAACCTCCATTTGCGGAGGGGGTTTTAACTAAGCTGTTTCACCTGCAAAGCTGCCAAGTGTTGCCAGGGGTCCTGGTACACCTAAGGGCCAGATCGAGACCGGGGGGGTGGGGGGTAGGCAGGGGGGCATGGGCCTGAAGGCCACCTCCGGGCTCCGCCTGTAACCACAGCTGTGTCCACATCTCACGACCCACCCTCGGGCACGGCACCCCCTCCCCGACCCCAGCTCGGAAGTCTGGCTCCTCTGGTCCCTAAGGGAGTCACGTGGGCGTTCGGTTTCACCATTGTCCTAAAGGCTTCTCCTGCTCCAAGATGGACAGAGGATGTACTGTGCAATGGACAGCAGTTTGAGAAGAAAACAGGGTTCTAAGGCCAGAGAAAGGCCCTAGCGTGTCTTCCCCCCCTCCCTTGGGGAGACGCCAGCCTGGGAGGTGACTGGCCGGGGCCCCCACCTCAGGAAGGCGGGCCACCGGGCAGTCACCGCGGGCTGAGTGCTCACCTTTCTACGTGGAGGAATGGCTGGCGTGTGTCCTCTCCGCTCCAGCAACGAGACACACAGCTCTTCCCGCCCAGGGACCCCATCGTGCCCGGAGCTGCGGGGCCCACATCACCACACCGCTGGCTCCCGTCACCCTCGCTGAGGCATGTCCGCTCCTCCCTGACTCCGGCACCACCAACGTGGGCAGTTTGGGGCAGTTCTCTATCTTGTCATTTTAAGGTTTTAACATCATTCAAGGTAAAAAAGGAAAAATCACACCGTGGAGAAAGGAATCAGAGATGTCAATATTGTCAGAAAATCTAAGTTCTAGACTCGGCAGTAGCACATCAGCCTTGATCTGTTGTCTGACGGGGCCATCACGCCAGTGCCTCGTGGGTTTTACAAGTCCCTTTACCGTCCTGAGAGCCACGTGTGCAACTAGTGTCCACCCGGGCCACGCAGGGTCCCCTCTGGAAGTTTGTGTGCCAGCCCAGGAGAGCGACGAGAAAGGACGCCACCCGGGCAGCGTCCCCTGCCCTCTAACCCGGACCCGGACAGCCAGAGCTGCCGGCACAGGACCTGCTCACAGCCCCATCCAAGGACAATGACACCTGCACTGAGCCACCGCGTGTGGCTGGGTGTGGGCCTGTGGCAGGTGGGTGTGTGTGTGTGTGTGTGTGTGTGTGTGTGTGCTAATGTGATTCTCACACAGCCCCATTTCCCCCAAACCATTAAACACCCATCGCCACTTTGAGTGGCGACCTCTGCCCTCATTACCGAGTCTGTGTTGTTTGCAGCTAATGAGCGAGCCGTGTGATGCTAACGCGCGCCTCTTCCTTTGAACGCAGCTCTGAGAGAGCCAGGCAGCAGCCTGGTGTTATCTGTGCCGAGGAAAACAGCCACGGAACCCATCTGTCTAATTGTGTCGCTTGGATTTCTCTCTAAATATCAGATAATGGTATTAGCTTCTTCCCTCCTTTTATCTCCTAAGGCTTCTTTCAAATAGCCAACTTTTTTTTAAAAGAAAAACAACCCTACATTTGAGTGTTCCTGGCTAAATGATCTTTTTAGTTGGTCAAAACACCATCAATAAACCGTCAGAAGGAAGCGTCCAATTTCTTTGCCTATTTGTTCTCACGGGGAAGCCAGATTCCAGTCCTTTCAATTACCACGAAGGCAAGACACGGCCCGGGGCCCAGCCCCGCTCAGCGCAGTGTCACGGACATGGACATGCTAGTGCCATGTGGGCTTCTTT